AACTATATCAAACAATCGCTGTCAGTCTCCCCGGTGCTATACCCGACCTCCCTGTGCCCCCACTCCACACTACCTATCGGTGCGATAATAGCCAACACGCGCTCTTAAGGTCGTCGCGAAGGGATAGTTAGCTACAGTATGGCATCGATACAGCCATACCATCCCCCTCATCACCCGATATGCCAAAGCACTGGTAGTGCCAGTGGTGCGGGTATACCAGCCTAATAGCACAGGTATCTCGTAGGGCTGTGCGTACGTGAGAGCGCTAAACTGCCAGCGCATAACATACTGTGCGCTCACCAAATACAATGATATCACTGTAATCGCGTGATTGGCCCGCAATGCTGTCACTGTAATACCATTGGCTGACAGCATAGCTAAGCACAGCTACTCTATGGCATACTATGGCTCATATAAGTTGAAGGACTGCAGTGTCTAGTGATTCATACAACGCGTAGACTTCAAACAGTGCACAACACTAACAGTACTGACAGTACGAGCATTGCATTCAATATAAACTTATAACTCAAGTGTTGGTCACAAAAAAGTTTGAAAACTTTATAATAAGTGCGAAATCAGTTGATAATCACCAGAGATTAGATGCATATGAAAATGTTGACCACAAGACAGAAGTCACTGTCGCTGACGGGCGGCCACATCGTGTCGGAACAGCTACTGTTGCCGTCGTACTCGCCCAACGCCACGACCACCACTGGGCAGCACTTCCCGTGGGAGGAGGACGTCAATGAGATCAATACCCCCGACATCGACCCCTCCTTCTTCGATGTCGACCCCTTCAAGAAGATGAAGACCAATGGCATCGATCCGTTCGCTGTGGCCGACGATAACTACTTCGGCGCCAATCAGACGTGTCTTATCGTGTCGGAGGACTCATCGCAACAGTCGGGCCACCAGTCCTACGAAGACATGAACTTATGTCAGCTCTTGAGCCAAACCAATGTCGACATCAATGCACTCATCCGGGAGTCCGAGTCTGTGGTGGCGCCCAATGACGTGCTCGACAGCGCTCAGTACATACCGGTGACCACCTCAGCGCCGGTACTTCACTACCTCGAGCCCAAGAGCGTCGAGTCGATCGCCCTGAACGTGATCACCACAAACACATCCGTCATCGACAGCCATCAGCCATCGATGGCGCACTTCTCGAGCCCTACCCACTCATCGCACTCGTACTCTCCCGCGCTCTCCACCATAAACCAGACATACCTGAGCCCCACACCATCGCCTGCCCTCTCGTACGCCTCGTCGAGCGCCGGCAGCCCCTCGACGCTCGTGTCGATGGACGCCATCACATCCGACAGCAGCGCTACCATCGAAGGCGTGTTCGTCGACTCGATAGACATGAAGCCGGACCTCGACTTCCTTCAGCCGACTGTCATCAACGACCACTTATACACATTGCCCTCCACTTCCACGTCCACTGAGACGGGGCCGGCGCCCAAACGCCGCAAGTCTGGCGCCGACCACAAAGACAAGTACACGTCGGTCCGGAGGAAGAACAACGTGGCCTCCAAGAAGTCGAGGGTCACGAAGAGAGACAAACAAAAGCAAATGGAAGACCAGATCCAACACTACAAAGAGGACAACGAGAACTGCAAGAAACGGATCGAACAAATGGAAAGGGAGATCGAGTGGTGCAAGAACTACCTCTTCAAGAAAGTGGTCGCATCGGCCAGAAATTAAGCACATTATATATATGATCACTGGTCACCCCCCGCACCCCCACTCACGAGCGCACACCTGTATAGTAGCACATCTCCCGATCACCACCGCATCCATTGGTCACTCGATCGCAAGACACCACTCCATTCGATCACTCATTATGTCTTTAAATATCATTTAAATTATTATATAATTTTGTAAATTAACTGATTTTTTGTTGTGATATATCTTTTTAATTATCGCTCGACTCTTATCATTGATATCCTATTTAATACACTGTTATATATATAATACAATCATTATATCGTTTTCTAATTAAAATACAAAATCTTTTTAATTTATACCGTTTTTTTAATTAGCAATTCATTACTAGAAATAATTTTTTGATTTATTTTCTGTATAAATATATGACTCGTTATAATCAGAAAATTTTAAAAGTAAATTATATTAATGTTTAACGAAATAATGTTTTTTTCTTTTTTGCGGAAAATTGAAATGTTTTTTTTATATGTTATTGACATTTTATGCAAATTATGTTCAAAGCAAATAACATTACAAGTAATAAAAGTTTAATTTTAATTATGAATTCAGTGTTCATTTATTCAAAGGAGTCCCAAATGACAATAAATTCAATTATGAATAGTGTATTAATGGTCCAGAATCTATTAGTTTATTAGTCTATCAATGTGGACTTGTTTGGATATTTGAACCGCATTTGGAAATATACTTAACGTTTTGCATCATTACTACAGATTATATTTAAATAAATTTGATTAAAAATATCAAAAATAAGTTGTTTTGAGAAAGTTTGATAAATATTAGTTAATATAGTATAACAGTTAACTGCACTTAACATGTCCTTTTATAAATTGAAATATTTAAACTCTGCGATATTGATAAGTAGTTGTTAACATAAACTTAAAAACTTAATAAAACAAGTCTTGAATTATTAGTGTGTTTGTATAAGTAATTCTGCACAGAATAACATACCGTAGTGTTAAGCTATAATTTTGACCCCTATAAGAATTTGGTAAATGCATTATGTTTGCAATTTTTATCCTGGTTATTGTGTTATAAAAAAATTAAAATTGAAATTTAATCTAAATCCTAAAAATTCTCAATTAATCACCAAATAGTCTGGAATAAGGAGACTAACCGTTCATTTGTGTGACTCGACTACTAAAGTGAATCTAATATTTTAATATTACCGTAAAATCGATAAAATCCAGGTTTGAGTTTCCGGTAATTTATTACAAACATTGTTTATAATACAAAAATTAATTTGCATTACAAAAACTGTTTGATTAGAAATTGAAGTATTTATTGGGAAACACGTCTTATAGGAAGCGAGTGCCTGATCCGCACCATTGATAATCACCAACAGAGGTATACCTCCGGAGTTAAGAGGAATTAATAGCAGTTAAGTGTCGCATACTATTGGAGATAAATACTCCCATTTATTAAAAGTAAAGTGTTTTTTATGTTTGATATGTTTGCACAGTAGACATGCAGTTAGAATCGGTGCAAAAAGGTCTCTATATTTGCTTAATTTATTACATTTTTAATCAAAACCAATCTTGGATTCATTGTTTGCTATGCTGTTTATAATCGTTAAAAACTTTTTAGACTTATATTTTAGTTATGAATTGTTATGAAATTGGCGACAGAGATATGGGGTATAAATACGGGGTGCCGGGGGTTTAACTAAAAAGTTAGTTAGACTACATGTTACGCAATGATTACAGATCCCAATTAGGCTCTCCTATACTACTGCAACAAGTATTGGTAATCTATGTCTCTAAATATCAGTTCACATACTAATGCTATCACTGAATATGTGACACAAAAAAGTCCAAACTATCACCACTTAAGCCCTCGACTTATCCATTCATTGAGTGATATATTTATGCCTTTATTTGATTGCATTTGCGATAAAAACTAAAATTAAATTTATTGTTATTAATCGTGTGATAGACGGCCACGAGTTGAGGTGGAGTTCCAGGAGCTCCCGGTCCGTCCAGGGCTCGCCAACAATCAAACAATAAAAAGAGTAATTATATAATTGTCCTTGAACACATGCCAACTAATGTGTGAGATATTGTCATAACCCATTGTTACGATAGACAGTCGCTGGTGACCACCGATTGACACATCAATGAAAAGAAAAAAGTGGTAATACTATCGCATAATAATAACACATTTGTTGTTCACATTAGCAAAACAATGGCATACTTTAGCTGATAATTGACACATTTTAAATTATTTATTTAACAGTACAAGTGATACCAAAATGTGTACTTTGATATTACCGATAGTTTTATACATAGCTATCAGAAACCGGTAAACTTTACTCCATAGAGAGCTCCAAAATATAGAGAATTTGAATAAATTTAATTCAATTTTTGAATATAACTTAATATTGATAAATAATTATAGACTGATCTCATTATTTGCATAACAGTAACAGTAATACTTTTATCAAATATTTCCCAAAGTCAACCATCAAATATATCTGATTATAACATTTTACATAACACTCAATACTGTATATCTGGGATACAGAATAGCATTGAATGTAATGTAGAATATTCTCGAATAGCCTTGGTCATTCCCAATAAACCACTAAAACAGTGCCGAAATCTATTTTCGTAGATACAGTCCACGAGATTACTATTATTTGACAAATTCTCATATGAGTGCCTAGATAACGGCACCTACACAATAAACAAAATACATCCAGGTGATCAATAGAAAAGTCATTTGTATGTTGTTTACGAAACTTTAATACCATGACATAATGCAATGCAATGATTGGTCGGTTATGACACCATCTAATTGCTGATTGGCTGCCGTGTTGTTAAGCGTATGAATGGTATGTATGACTGCATTGTGACGTATAATATGTGCAAAACAGACCATTTTGTCACTTATGATAGCCTTAAGTGCATACAAATTATTACACAAAACCTTATTATATGTCTCATAATGTGATCTCATTTATTGTATTCAACTTAATTCCCACATCAAGTGAATTGTTAACTCTATTTCTTATCAAAGTTATAATCAATAAAAGTTTTCTTATACCTAAAACTTAATAAACAACTAATTGTGATTAAAACACGTGTAATAAACAATGACCTGGATGAACACCGTATGAAAAATAGTCGAAACATTTGCATTGAGAACCAAAAACATTAAGCAAATTATTTTCTGCTGTTAAGTCTAATTAAAGTCATAAAACTTTTTGTTAATCGCAAAAACTTTTGACTAAACCTTTTCCCCGGTGCAGTAGTATCGAGACAAATAGCAAACTAGTAATGACTGAAAGCAACGGCGAAATGATTGTTAACAACAATTTACTCGTCATTAACGACCGAAACTATACTAACAGTAAGAGTGCGGGCGATGAGGGGGACGGGGAGGACAGGGATGGCGAGCGGTTTGAGTGCGACTGCAGGTTAGGTCCCAATGAGAGCGCGTGTTATACACAGTTTGACGGGAAAGTCATGTCCGACCACCGCATCGATTACCAGAGCTGTGACTATTGGGACGACGAGTGCTATAACCTAATGAATGAGCGCATCATTGCTATCATGTATGCCATACATTGTATGCCTTCATTGCAAACTCCGTGAACTAATCACAACTTTTATAACACTTTTCTTTTCATACCAATTGTGTCCGTCCTGTCAGGTCTGTACTGATCAACAACTCTCCGGAAGTGGAGAACCCGACCGCCAGGCGCCGGAAGCGGCAGAAAACGAGCGTAAAGTTCATGTGGAGGGGACGGCCGGTGTGTAAGCAGCTGTTCCTATGGGTTCACGCCATGAAAAAGCCGAAGTGGACGTACCTGAAGAAGCGATACCTGGCGTATGGTGTGGAGCCCCGACAGCATCAGAATAAGACCAAACCCGTCAACAGTAAGGCCATCAACGGTGAAGAGCGCAAAGCGATCGTCCAATTCATCCGAGAGTACGGCCGACAGAACGCCCGCAATCCCAACGCCGGCGCCGATCGGTGGGATGAGTGCGACTGCAGGTTAGGTCCCAATGAGAGCGCGTGTTATACACAGTTTGACGGGAAAGTCATGTCCGACCACCGCATCGATTACCAGAGCTGTGACTATTGGGACGACGAGTGCTATAACCTATTGAATGAGCGCATCGTTGCCATCATGTATGCCTTCATTGCAAACTCCGTTTCCTTATCACAACTTTTATAACACTTTTCTTTTCACACCAATTGTGTCCGTCCTGTCAGGTCTGTACTGATCAACAACTCGCCCGAAGTGGAGAACCCGACCGCCAGGCGCCGGAAGCGGCAGAAGACGAGCGTAAAGTTCATGTGGAGGGGACGGCCGGTGTGTAAGCGGCTGTTCCTATGGGTTCACGCCATGAAAAAGCCGAAGTGGACGTACCTGAAGAAGCGGTACCTGGCGTACGGTGTGGAGCCCCGACAGCACCAGAATAAGACCAAACCCGTCAACAGTAAGGCCATCAACGGTGAAGAGCGCAAAGCGATCGTCCAATTCATCCGAGAGTACGGCCGACAGAACGCCCGCAATCCCAACGCCGGCGCCGATCGGTGGG